CCGTACTCTCCAAGCCTCGATTGGCACCCCATCTGGACCAACCGCCTTTCCAACCTTCATCCTCCCAAGTGCACACCTAACCTCATCCTCTGTCCAGAGTGCGATGGGACCAGCTGTGGCCTCTGCCCGTGAGTTGTTCTCGTGGGAGAACTCCTCGTTCAGAAGACCTCTGAAGTACTCTTCCCACCTCCTCCGAACTTCGGCTGGCTTCCTCAGGATGGCGCCGTTGCTGCTCTTCACGCTCTTCACCACCCTGATATCTTGAGTAGCCCGATGCCGGGCTTTGGCCAGTCTGAAGACGAACTTCTCTGCGTTTCTGCTTTCCAACTTCTCGTACAAGGCGTCCATCTCCGTGTTCTTTGCCTTGGCGACGGCAGCCTTAGCGAGCCTCTTGCAACTCTTGTAGGCAGCGAGGTCCTCGGGGCTCCGGGTCTTCTGCCAGCGCTTGTATGCTTCCTTCTTCTGCTTCACGACTCGCTGGACCTCCTCGTTCCAGAACCACGCTGCCTTGTCTCCTCTGAATCCACCTCGCGTCTCGCCCAGTACCTCCTTGGCGCATCGTAGGATGATCTCAGCTGCATTGCCCCAAGTCTGCTGCACTGGTCCCTCAGGATCTGGGAGACCAACTTCCATTATCCTTCGCTTGAGGTCACTCTTCTCTGCACGGTGCAACTTCCACCACCGGATTCTCCTCTCGGTTCTTACCCTTGTCTTCTTGGGGAGGTCCATGGCTATGTCTGCCAGGAGGGGCCTGTGCTGGGGAGCCAGTCTTCGCCAGGGAGTACCTTGATGTCCTTCACAGTTCTGAGGGATGATCTTCTTACCAGCACATGGTCGATTTCCGTTTGTCTCCCTCCACTGCTGTAGGTTACCTTCTGAGTCTCCCTTTTCGCGAAGAACGTGCTGCAGATTGCCAGATCGTGGGCCGTAGCCAGGTCCAGGACCCTCTCTCCTCGGCGTTCCTCACTCCTATTCCTCTACCTCCGTGCACCCTTTCCAGGCCTCTTCTGTCACTGCCGACGTGACCATTCAGATCACCTGCTATGGTCAGGTAATCGCCTTCCGGAATCGATCTGATGGCATCGTCAAGGCTGAGATAGAACTCGTCCTTCACTTTCGGGGCATCCGGCTTGCGGTGCGTACACGGAGAGTATGGTCCAGTACCCCTCCTTCGTGTCTATCCTCACAGCCATGATCCGATCGCTGATCCTGTTCACAGCGGAGACATAGTCCTTGAGCGACTCCGCTACCGCTATGGCCACACCGTTCCGCTTGGTGTCTTCCCCATTGTAGTAGAGTTTGACACCTTCCCCGATTTCCCTGGCCTTAGCACCTTTCCATCGCGTCTCCTGAAGGCATAGGACTTGGATATTCCTGCGCGTCATCAGATCAGCAACCTCTCGGGACTTCCCAGTTAGCGATCCTACGTTCAGAGTCCCTTATTACGGTGGGGGATGGGAGGAGCTGGAGGCGGGGGGGGGGGCGGGGCGGCGGGGGGCGATCAGCTTTCTTTGGCCGAGGCCGTTCCCTCCTCGGTAGCCCTCGCATACTGACCACAGAACTCGGGCGGGGGTTCTGCGCGCCACTTCCGGGTGACGTCCTAGCATTAACACTGATTCTTTTGCGACTTTTAGACATGTTTGGTGTGACTGGGGTATTCATCAGCCGGCCTGTCAACCTGGGCCTGACGCTGGTACTAGAACCATTTTTGCAATTTTTGCAAGGCATGGTTAGCCTCGGCAGGGATCGAACTCGCGGTTTTTGGAGGTGCAGACATGAGTCTAACTCTTTAACACGTTGACGACAGCGCAGGACACATACGTCCCGCACTTTGCAGGCCATGACGGACAACGCGGGACGTATGTGTCCTGCACCCAATGCATTCATTTTTTCCTCGCACACGTGATTCATTTTTAGGCTTCTTGTATTCATTCCATAGAGAAAACCTTAGCGTAGATACAAACATAGTCGCTCTTAGAATGGTCACGTGTGCTTCAAATTAGGGGAGGTCTTTTGAACCGAACGAAGTCGTCAGTCTAGTTGATTTCTTGTTTACATTTCCTTCTCATGAATGTGAATATTCAAAGGGTAGTATAAGTCAATACGGAACCTCAAGGATGGCAAGATATGTGTTTTGATTGCAACAATCGATGCAAAATTGCTTTTGACGTTATTTGCAGCTGATTCTAACAAAATTTGCTTCTTCACTACTTTTCCATCCATATTTCGATCAAAATTTCACTACTGTATCTCTGGGGCGCTTCTACGCACTGAAAAATACTAATCTAACTTTGTATCAATCATGTTTTATTCATTTACCACGCAAAATTCGCCTGAAGGACCTGAGGCGGCGGCGCTCGCAAAATCGCGCCGGTCCCACGCGGTCAAAGAAGCGAAAACGCGCGTTGTCGTCAACGTGTTAACCACTCGGCTATCCCTGTCTACGAATCAATTCTCTGTTAACTTACTCATTCTTAGGAATTTATATGGATTATGTGTTTGTTGAAGGTCCTACATATTGTGATTAAAATGGGTGAGACGTCTCGATTTTGTCGCTCACTTAGCATTAACGATAAACAAAAACAGAGCAAAACGACGAACAAGAACCAACCAGCCCCAAACACAAAAAAACCAACCGCAAAACCTACACAGCCACCACAACACCACCAAAACAACCCAATCGTGTACGAACAATATAGCGATAAATTCAAGAATGTGAATCTGCTTCATGGCCACGCTTGAGAGTGAGTCCTCCCTGGACTTATTCCCAACTGGGCGTATATTACCTGATGAATCTAACAATAAGGTTTTCCCCCGGGCTCTGAGCGCTCATGTCGTTGAGGGGGGGGGGGCATTCGAGTTAGTGAGCCAGTTGCTGTGCTTGGGTCTA